GAGGTCCCTTCCAGTCCTATAATCTATGAATCTATTACAAAACAATCTCAGTGCTGTGTATTAAAGTGAAGTGTGAGGCTTCAGCTAACCTAACAGGCTGGTGTGTGCTCTGTCTCTTTGGAGGCAGTGAGCATAAAGTGAGAGGGACTGGATGCTGCAGGGAGACGTTTCTGGGGAACTTGGCAGCTGGGACTCACTGATTGTTACCGGCAAGCCAACATTTAGACTGGCAGAGTCTTGAGGAGTTTGCTGGCAAGGCAGACAGACTGATGTGTCAGGGACCTGCCACACAGCTTAGCAGCACCAAAGCTCTTGCTCTTGCTAAGGCAGAATGGTAACAGTGGCTCACAGTTCTGAGTGTTCTGAGCATGACGTCACAGGGGACACTTACGGTTTCTCACTGATGCCAAGATAATGATAGACCACGCCGGGATTCACAACTCCTTTCATCTCAGTCCAGGGGAGCTCTTCAAAGAAGTAATGAGGCAGCCTGGAGTTGGCATAGGTCACTGCATCACAGGACACTAACCCCGGATAATACATCATCATCCGGGCAGTGAGATTCACCTTCTGGCCAATGACTGTGTGGTGGAGAGACCAAGAAAATGGGTACTGAAAAGTTAACTGAGCTCCCGCTCATCCTCCTGTGAACAGCTCCATATATATCCATGCATACATACCCCTCCACCAGCAAAAATACGCAGCCTACACACACTCTCTGTGGGTTCCCAGGGGATACCAAACATGCACAGGACCAGAGAAACAGACTGTACCTGTGTATTCGTGCCTTACATGATGGCCAACTACTCCGCAGAACACTGGCCCGCTGGTAACCCCGATGGAAACTAGCCTAGCAAGCAATGAGAGCAACATGGAGTCAGCAATCCCAAATGTCCAGTCCCTCTTGCCACATCTGCTCATGCACCCTCTCCCCACCCCCACTCCTGTAGTGCTAATTTGTATTGACTATCCCCACATCAGCCAGCTAGGTCTCCCAACAGCCTGTGTGCAGCTCTGTGTGTGTGCGAAAGGGATGGAGAAGAGGGCAAGGAGCTTCCCTCACGCACGTCCTC